TTTAAGTTGTATAATGATCTTCTGTCTGTCTGTTGAACAAAAAAAAGATACTTGCTCGTCGTTTACAATGTTCCTGCTGTAGATGAAAAGTTCCTTAATCATCCAACATACGCAATCTATCTCACAGACCCTGAACACTAAGAAAGTTGATTTGTTCAACGGTGATTAATATTCTACTTAGAAATTTCTGATAACTAAAAATTAATCCTTAAAATATAAAGGAAACTGGATAAGTAACTTTGTTTTTTAATTAGAACAATAAAATGCAAAATTCTATTTAATCTTAATTACTTTATATGTGTTTATTTCCCACTCCCTAAATATATGAAGTGTAAAATTAATGCAAAAAAACCTTGAAATAATAAAGATAAAAGAGGTCATTGTGTATGCTGGAGTTACATTTGAAGGATGATTATCATTGTATCACTGTTACAAAATAAGACTTATTCCACACAAATAATAACAATTCATAAATAATAGTGAATGAATTGACAATCTTCAGTAATAATTATATTTGTTATTTACAAATTAAAATGTTATTTAAACTTAATTTAAAATTTTCTTTTTTATTTATTATATTAGATAAGGAACAAACTGTAAATTAGATAATTGAACATTTTTTAAAAATCTTTTTATATTTTAGAATGTTGCAGACCAAGGGCGAACTCACATGACACTGAATTGAAATTAACATTTCCCTCCAAATACTTTGAAAGTTTAGTTATAAAATTTTTATTTAAAGCAAAATAAAAACAAGCCTTTCAATTATAGTTCAATCGTTCATCAGGTCGATTAATATGTGGAAAGGGAACGTTTTTTTCCCTGATATTCTTGTGAGCAAGCTATATTATCACCATTTATTTCTTTCATTATGAAATATGAAAAGGTATATGTAAAAAGTTTAGTCCAGATAACTATTTATTTAAGTTCTATTTCTTTTTTTTTTAATATCTTTAAATTTTCAAAACTTAGTACATCCTACTGAAAATTTTTGCTATTATTACTATTCAGTATTATGAACCACTTGTTGAGTCATAGACTGCCATTTTTCTCTATTCAGTGGCGCTACTTTCCAGTTTTTAATACTAAGTAGAGATCTAGCGTCAGCAGTCATGTTCTATCTATCTTGTTGGCGGTATAATCTGAGGGTGAATCTAGGCCTCCTCTAGGAGCTTCTGCCATCCAGCTTAATCCATTGCCGCTGCCTTCCAGTATGTTGTTCCTAGTAGTATCTTGGAATCAGCCGCCACGCCATCTTAGCCTGGGTCTGCCTCTCGTGATGCGGTCAATCATATCCTCAAGGACTCTTTTGAGAATAGGCAGCAGCCATGTACTCTTCTCAATATAGCATTGGACGTCCAGTCCGCCTGGTACCATATATTCGCTCTGATAGAATTCTGGATAGTATTTGATCCGAGTGAAGTCTTGATCCCCTCATAAATGTAGTTACATCCACTTCTTATATTTTGTATTTAACTTGCCATTCATCCTTCTTTTTTTAGTGCCTTGAGAAAGCATTTTTTTTTTTTTTTAATCATTTTGAGTAGTATATAAGTGCTAGTTGGATTATTGTTTTAGATATACTTTATTTTGAAGTATTGTGTAATGCAATGTTTAATAGGTGTAATGGAGGAAAAATAAGAGTGGTTTTCAGAGAGCATTCTTCTCTGGATTTCTTCTTCTATGCTGTTATTTTGATTAATCTGGGATCCTCAGTAAATGAAGGATTGAACACTTTTAAATCTACACTGTCGCATGATTTTGACTCTATTAAATTAATTCTATTATCTTAAATTAATCTATTAATTCTATTAATATTGACTCTATGACATTATTCGTAAGAAAACATTTACAAAATCAATATCTAACTACTGATAGAATATGAGTTTTGAAGAAGCCATCAGATATGTACAGGAGAGAACGGATTCCAAGAAGCTAGAATGGGTAAGGAGTGGTTAAATACTGAAAGTCAAAAATACATTATTCAGAATAAACTAAAAACTTGAAATATAACTATCAATTTAGATTAGCTAGTAGGTAGTAAAGATAAAAAGATAATAAAAACTCTTCATGAACAGTATTGGTTGGCATTACGTCCATTGCCGTTCAATAAATACATTAAAAGATTTATTATAAGATAGAATTTCTTTGTTTATTTAGAAAATACTTTCATAAATGCATTTTGATAATGAGATTTAATAACGCTTTTCTTTAATTTTTTTCTTCAAGGATTTAGGCAGTTCATTGCTTCTCTTACAAATTAATCTTATACAATATTAAGGGTATTCTACAGAAAATATCTTAGCAATTCCACATTGGCATCAATAATATAATCTCCACTTCTTGTCATGGTTGGAATTCATAAAGGAATTTTTTTAAATTATAGATTATGAATAATTCCTGATTAAAAACAATTATTTATTAACAGCAATGCTTACGTTAAAAGGACCTTCCAAGAGTTAAAGACATACCCTATAGTGTTATTTTTATAATAATATCAGCCCTAAAAGTATGAAGATACATATAAATCTTTCAATATTTCATAAAAACAATTCAATATAAATTAAGACACACCAAGTCAGATACTGAGGCAAGAATAGTAGCCACAGTTAGTAATTTAGAAATGTACATGATTGGATAGAAGCTCACAGGATATACGTCAAACGTTATTATTAAATAAATTTTGGCAATTGAAATGTAACAGAAATGACCAACTTCAACAATATTTTAAACATTTCCATCTAAAACAACATAGCATATTCCTATTATATTTAAGTACTAGTTGTCTTTCAAGTTCAAGTTTTATTAAATATATATTTAATTTTAAACGCTTAGTAAAACTACTTGATACACAAATTGTTACCAGAAATCTTTTATAATTTTAACACAATTTATTTTCTTATTTTTAATTTGAAGTTAAAGTTTTATTTGCTTACATGAAATGTTTATATCACCCTCATGACTCTTTTGAAATTCAGATAATATATATATATATATTCCAAATTTTAATGATGTATACAGAAATTTTTATTTAGTCATTATTCTTATTTCCTACTTACTCGCATTTCTGCAACATGAGTGCCAGCAGAAATGCAGAGTGTTCATATGTTGCAAATAGAAATCTTATATAAATTTTCAACAATAGTTAACATGTTATCTCTAACCGCTGGAGAGAGTAGACGGAGATTCTAATGGCAAGGATATGAATTCATAATCATTAGAGCTAATAAAATAAAATAAATTTATAAAAAGGGTATAATGAGTATATAAAAAATTAAAATGGCCTAACAAGATATGCCTCAGCATTATTTAACCTGGTGGTTTTACAATATGTCTAGCAATTTTGGTAACTGATTTTTTTTTTTTTTTTTTTTCTGAAAAGCAACCTTTTTACAAACATGTGTAAATTAACTAAAAAGCTGCCGATCATCAATCCTCAGTGAGAATTTTTTTGTCTTTATTTTTTGTAGCTTTTATTAACGGTGTGTTGATTCTGGTTTATTATTCTTAACAATCTTCTTAAAGAACCAGGAAAAAACAAAATTAAACCCCTCACTCAAAGTTAGACAATAATCCCTTACATTTCTTCACGGGGAGATATAAGCAGTACATGGCAAAATTAGCTCATCATAGTTGAAATTGAAGGAACGCATTAAATTTAAGAAATCATGATCAATTTCATCAATTTGACTATGAATGAATCAATAAATAATTCCTGTTTTTCCAGACCACACTAAATCCACAACAATTCTTAAATTTTCTTAATGATAGAGACCATGTTTTTAAATGAGTTAATTAAAAAACATCATGTAATAATGATCCATAATTCTTATTCCTTATTTTTTTAAATATACTTAAGCACCTAAAAATGTTCTAGAGTATAACTGTAATACATAATTTGCTTCATCACCTTTTGCCATCTAATTGCTCCGCCAATAAGGAGATAATAATAGTTGGATTTTTGATTAATAACAACAGTCCTAGGTAGTTTCTATTTTAAAAACAAAATTTATTTATATATTCTCTTTTATGTTTAAAACAAATAATTTAATTTCTTCTATAAATTTAAAGTATATACTTCAATTTATCTGACAATTTCATAAGCAAAATAAATTTCAAAAAACAACTAAGATAATATCAAGAAGGTGTCATTTTATATTAAATTTTAAACATAAAAATATAAATCAATTACATATCTACATTTTCAAGTTGATAATTTATTTTTAAGAAAATAAATACAGCATAGTAATGTTATTTAACACAAAAAATAAATAAACTAGAATTGATTTTAAAAAATGTTAACATATATGTCTTTGATTCAAGGGATTTAATCACAAAAATCTTTAGCACTCTGTTGTTTTGCTTTTGAATTTTTTAACATTCTTTAAATAATATCTACAGCTGATTCAAATAATTTTACAGTTTTTTTTTACCCATTACACCTCTTCATTTTCTTAACTCATTTACTTAATACGGTAACATAAATAATTGTGTTTTTGTACTTCAATGTACTTACCTCTGAAAGGAAAAAAATAAAATAAATTTCTCCTCAAAAATTGATTTTAACATAATCGGAAATTTAACTATTGTCACCTAAAGTAAGCAGAATTCTTTCTTTCTGTACTTTATAAATTAGTAATTATAAGAAAGATAAAACATTTATTCATATAATGATTATAAACGTTTTATAAATAAAAATTTTAAAAAATAGTTTAGATTTTTTTTATACCTCCTCTCATGTCAGGCCCGGTATCTGAAAATATATTATCTGATTCGATACGCCTGCGATTTAAATTATTCAACTAACCATCATAACTGTTAATACAATTACTGTATTTACACATTACATCACATAGGATTAGTTAATATTTAATAACATATATGCTCTCTTGTTATATACAATTTAAATCCTATAAGGTTGATATATAAACCACTGGTTTTTGCAAATAAAATTAAAAAATATAAAAATCACAAATTAAATACGCTAATAAAGTTTTTGGTTATTGTCCTCCGTTATCACCATTGGTGACTATCTCATCATCACTGTAATGCACGCTCTCTTGTTTCGCTTTTTTGATAACGGAATTTTCATCACTATTCTCACTTGACGTCCTTTTTCTCTGCCCTTCGACATTGTTGTTCACAACACTATCAGGATCTAAGTCTTTAGTCCTTTGTAAATCGTCCATAACGTGGTCTGAGGTCGAGTCAATCGAATCAGAGGACCGATTCCATTTGTTGTGGGATAGAGGAAGGCCGTTAACTTGGCCAACGGGTGATTTGATCACTTCTGTCCTTCTTAAGAGTGTATTTTCATGCTCCAATGAGCTTAAAGTTTCTTTAGATTTTTTCAGCTCTTGTTGGAGGTAGTAGATTGTACTCTGCATTCCTTCTACATCTTCATCAAGATCTTGTAAAAGTTCATCCAATTCTGAAAATAGAAAGTTATTATTTATATATGAATCAGATTATAATAAATGGTAACATTACTTATTCAATTAAAAATAAAAATTTACCAACAGTAACACCTCCTTTATATGCTATTTGATAAACAATGTTTTCTATAAATCGAACTGACTGTGCAAGAAATTAAAATAAAAAATGCAGTTCTTATTTAAATTATAATTCAATTTTTCAAAAAAACTTAAAATTTTAATTACCTCATAACTAGGGAAATTCACACCTTGGTGGGTAAAATTCCCTCAAAATTAGAATCACTTCAATGTTGCCAACTTTCAGTTTGATAGAAAACAAACTTCCAGTTTTATAGAGAAGCCATTGTTATTAGTTTTATCTATAATAAAATTATTTTTTTTGCTACTTTAGTCTTTTTATGACTGCCACCCATATCCTTACTCAATAGCATAGTAAGGTCAAAAATCAAATATTAAATATCTCTTTAATTATACAAGTGGTTCACTTTAATCATCTTTTAACTCTTATAAAAGATACCGGCCAAATTACAAATTTCTCTTGATACAATTAAAATCTATTCGCTGTACTCAACTGTATAACGTAGAGAACAACATTACCATTTTTGGGGCAAGAACATACAAAAATTACTCTATTTCATTCAACTAATAAATGAAAAGAAATTAAAATAATTAATAAAGTATAGTTGAGCAAACAGAATTAAAACCACATTTTTATTATACCAATTATGGAAATTAACATTTCTATAATATAATTATAGCAGATTGACAGTTTTCAAGTAATGTAATTTAGGAAACTGACAAGATTTGGATAGATAGATATAAAGCCGTTAAGAAGACAACTTTAAACAAGTACACTGATCTCAACAGGAGTGTAATTATAAGATTATGTTTATTAATTAAGATCTCATGTTTAATTTTAACCAATATATGTCAGGAATTAGATACTGAACCTCGTAACTGAATTTCAAACTCATTTTTAAACAATCTTTATTATAAATTAAAACCTCAACTTTAAATTAATAATTAATGATAATAAACAAATATTACAATGAGAGTACCAATGATCATTCCAAAAATGATTGCATTTTAAGGATGATAAATATACAAAAAAAAAAAAAAAGGTCAATTAATAGAAGAAATCCTCAAATTTATAAAATATCAAATAGAAGTTATTAGTAATAAATTTGTAGAGCTTTAGAAACAATTGCAAGCAACGGAAAGTAAAATAGAGACAGAAAATAGATCAAACCATCAGTAAAAGTTTATCAAACCATCAGTTCGACAATAAATCTCTGCTGAATTAAGAAGAGAAATGAAATATGAATATAAACAAAAATGAATGAAATGAAACGATTACAAATAAAATGGTCGAAATGCAAAAAAAAAAAAATTACTGATTCAACGATATATGATTACCTGACTGAGATTTCTTAACCTCTTCACTAAAACTCTTTTGCAAAGCAAGATCACCTTCCAGTTTGGCTAAACGACCTTTTGATACCATTGCTCCAAGTTCTTCATTTTCTTGATACAGCAACCGGCATTTAGCCATTAGGCGTTTTCCAGTATTACTGAAAGAAAAAATACATAAATTACTAGGTATCAACAGTAATCGAATAACATTACATGTAATAAAAAATGTTCACAATTTTAATCACGGCAGAATTTTAATCGTAAGTATAATTGTATCACTAAGAACTAAATGGTAAGACAATTAATGAATTTAAGCGCTCTAATACCAACTGATTTTTTTTTTTTTAATTAACATACCTGTCGGGAGTAAATTTCCAGGCTGAGAGTTCATTTTGAGTATCATCAAGACGAGTTCTTGTTTCCGATAGCTCTTGCCTCAACCTCTGAAGCAGTAAATTTACGGCAGGATCTAAGAGAGTATTCCTTAATGTACCATTTCCTGGCACTTGGCTAACTTTTAATTCAGAAAGTTGACCCTGAAATTAACAAAAACAATTAATAGTAATGTGACTGTTTTTCTGAAGATACACAATTAAAAAATAAATATATTGTTCCATAAAATGAATTAAGAAAAATAAATTAATTCTCTATCTTTAATTTTCATCATGAAATAATAGACATGTTATTGACTGCTATATAGGCATAATCATAAACTATTTTGTAGTAAAGTATAAGCTTCAATCAGAGCCCTAAAATGCTATTTCTATGAACAGTTTATAATAATTATCTTAATTTTAACAGAATTCATGATATTTGCTAAAATAAAATCCCGAAATGGTGATTTTGTGTGTTTAAATAAGCAACAAGGTGTCACATAAAACATGTGATGCCTCGATGTTGCATAACATGAATGAGAACTCATAAGTGGATCTTACACGATCAATCATGAATGACAGAAAAAAAACTGGCAAGGATTGCTCAATTCATGATGAATCATACACATTCAATCATTACTAAGGCCATTTTAGCTCAGTTGACTTTGAGTTGGATCTGATGAATGGTCCATTTATAGTATGTTTAATTTAAAAAGCTTATTTGGCCATTATCCTTTATAGTATTGGAAATCGAGAAAAAAATGGAGATATAATAATTACTTCCTAGTGCCTGAAAATCGTTTCGACAAAAGTTAAAAAAATAAAAGCCAACTACTTACAAAAATTAAGGAAAAGTATTGCAAAAGTAATAAATTTGTTAAGAAAAATGAAAAAAGAACTGACTTTTATACACAGCAATTAAAGATGTTTTTTATATATAAGTAAATTGTGAAGTTTCAACTTTTTTTTTTTTAATTTATTGCCCACTTGAATATTTAAAAAAAACGAAGTAGAAAATGGTTTATAAAAATATAAATTAGCAATATGAAAAACTATTATTTTTATGAAATTATTTACTTAATAAAAATCAGGAATGTACAATGGTTATGAGGTCTTGATAAACTAGCCTAAATAGCAGTAAGATTAGTATCTCCATCAATTTTTCCTCAGTCTCCCCTCCATTTTTCGTAATAGAACCTTTGATTTCCGGATTTTCGGAAATCCGCCAGACACATCCATCAGTACCCTACACGATCAATCAGAACCTCAATAGTGCCTCAGAATGCAGTTCCAAATAACTGTGTAGGGTCCACAATACCATTATTTAATAAATAAGAAATTCAATAAAGCAAAAAAACTTACAGCAAACTCTTGCATATCTTGCTCCTTTGCAGCGAGTCTTCTCATCAGCACTCTCTCCCGGAAAGACAGCTCGGCAATTTGATTTTTTAATTTTTCTTCAGCATCCTTAGAATTTGTACGTTCTTCTACAACACAATTAACCAATTTACTTATATACATACTACTATCCAGTTTCGACAAATTCTTTAGCTTGATTTATTTTAAAGAAAGGTTTAAAAATAAAGACAATGGGTTAAAAAAAAAAAGTGTCACAAAAACTTTAAATCATTTTAACAGATCAAAAATATTTAATAGAAACAAAATGATTCTTTAATTAGATCCTACACGAGATAGAAAATGCAAACTGTCTAGTCTTTAAAATATTCTTCTTGAATATTGTTATAAAACATGAAACCTAAAAGAAGTTAGTTGTAATTTATGAACAATAAAATCGTCGAACAAGTGAATGTCACTTCAATTTCATAAAAAACCTCAATCATTTATGTTTGTGTATTGTCATAAAATTAAAACATTAATACAATAAATGGCATGTAGATATTTCAATCGCAAGGTAAAAAAAATTGCACTGTTTATTTTCAGGTAATATCTGGAAAATCAACACCAAACAAAATAAAACACTTGAATGGTTTCATATCAAAAACGGACATCTGTAATTTTTAATAAGTTGAGAAAAAGTCAATTTTTGTAATATAGCTTCAATTTAGACCAATTCTAATGATGGTTTTTCGTAATTCAATTAGAACATTCTTAAATAAAATCATCAGGAATAGTTCGAGTTGAATCCATAAAACAAAAATTGACTTTGCCTTCAATTTCTGAAAATGTCACATATTCGTCATTGATATGAAGCCACTCAATTAATGTTGTTTTTTTTTAATAAATAAATATTCAAAGTAAAATATAAGAAGTCATATTTAAGAATTTTTTTATTTTACTGATATCAGATGCAAGAAGCCAGACAGAAATTTAATTTTTTTTAATAGAACATTATTCTTATCGATTATGTTAGTAAGCTTATTTTAACTGTAAAAATTAAGATTCTGGATCAAAAATGGATAAGGAAGAACAAATAAGAAATTAAAGTGATAAAGAGAACGGACAAATTTTCTCTATTCAATAAAACAAGGTGTTTATAATGTGTTTTCATCATTAGGAAGAGAAAAAGAAACCAAACAAAACTAATATGCAATTTATAAAATATTTGCTATTGTTGTAAATAAGTATTCTAGGTATTATCATCAGAATTAATCTTTTCTGTAAGCCATTGCTATTTTTCAGACTTTGTTTCAAATAAAGTTGCGTTTTCTACTCTATTATAAAACGACATTGAAGAAAACCTTAGTAAATCAAAATTGAAGGATCTAAAGGATTAAGAATATAATATTAAAAGGGAGTATCTGAAGAGAAGCTGGTCAGTCTCAATTCAATGAGGCGCTGAACTCAAAGGATCTTCAACGAAAAGAAAATAATTATTTTGATTCAACAAATTTAAAAAATGAATCCAGCAAATGTAACCATTAGTTCCATTGATATCAAGAGATACTAACTTAGGGTCAGTTGCTCCAACTCAGTAAAGCTTAGATTAAGCGTTATCTAAGATTAAACCAAGTTTTCTAAGGTCCACCGATTAAGATTGAACTAGGCTTAATCTTAGACAACGCTGAATTTAAGCTTTATTGAGTTGGAGCAACTCGCTACATAATGTGACACCTTAATTTAACAAGCTATTCAGTTATCTTAAAGAGACTAAGTTAAATACTTTTCTATGGCTAGGTCCTCTAAAAAAAAAAATCTACAGACTTTGTGAACCAAAGCAATGTGTTGTAGGAGGTTCTAACCTATTTTATAAAAAAGATGGTCCCATAAATATAAAAATAAATTAATAAAATCTACTAGTATCAAGCACAAAGGTTCTTGGGTTCAGTATATGAAAAGGTACTGTTTCTAAGTCTAAATCCAAGTCAAAAAGAACTGCTTCTTCATTAACAGCTGTACAAAGAAGGATTGTGATCAATGTGATCAATATTCACACCCCCTTGAAGGGTTCAGGTACCTATTATATATATGTATATATGTATATATGTATATATATATATATATATATATATATATATATATATATATATATATATATATATATATATATATAATGGAATAACGGTCATCAAATGAAGAAGAGTAAGAAGAAAGTAAAGGGCTGATGATAAGCGATGTCAAGAAATGACATTTACAAAAAGGCCTGTTTGCAAGAACATAGTTTGAAAATACAAAATTAACTTTACATAAGGCACTTATATTTATTTATGCTTAAATAGTTACATATCATTATAGTCACTATTAATTTAACTAAAGAAAACAACATGAGATGGAACATTGTAAAAAAGATCCCAGCCTGTCAGACTTACACACTATTTAAAAAAAGTAAATAAAAAATAGGAGATGGTCCGGGGTGGCGGTCATAAATAGGCTAAATAGTGACAAAACTATTTTATTAAAAGCCGAATTTTCAGGTCTTCTTCAGGGAGGTGTGTTCAGCTAGGAGTTCCACTTGAAACTGAGTGAAGTGAAACTCCTAGCTGAACACACTTCCCTGAAGAAGACCTGCAAAGTCGGGTTGAAACGTCGGCTTTTAATAAAATAGTTTTGTCACTATTTAGCCTATTTATGACCTCCACCCCGGACCATCTCCTTCCTTTATAATGCAACGGTCAACTATTAAATATTCAATAAATAAAAAATGATAAGTATACTAAACATATATATATATATAAAGAAAAAAAAAATTAAAGATGAAAAGTTTTGTTAATACTTTTAACATTCAAAAAAAAATTATCTATTAAATTTGTAAATAATCAAACTCCACAATATGTTAGCTTAGTTCTAAATGAATATTTTTTTCAACAAATTTCAACTGACAGATCACAATAGAACATAATAATAATAATAATAAGGCTTAGCGAACCCGAAGTTTCGATGCTGACACCACCAATCGCTTGTTACACACCTCCTTCCACCGTTCGCCGTCCAAACCCAGTCCCTTCAGATCGGCTTTAATGCAATCTCCCCACCTTCGCTTCGGTCTACCCCTCGGACGCTTACCATTCGGCACGGCAAATATTAACCTTTTAGGAATTCTCTCGTTACCAAGCCCAACAACTTTACAAGCCTCACAATAGAACATACTATGACGAAATACTATTACTCAATTGGTAATTGAAGAAGAAACGGTACTACTTAACATGCCGAGAAAGGATACTGCCGTGAATATTCATATGATTATTGGCCAAGACTACCTAAAAAAACATAAAGTAGAAATGGCAGACCCTCTGTAATAGATGCGGTTCGGGAGCAATCATGGATGCAACATATTTACAAATATACTCTCATTTACTGGACCTAAGAAATACAAAGCTGTATAAATCAGAACAGTACTCACCCGCTAGAACTCTAATGGTGGAAGCTGAAGAAGAGGCATAATTTAAAAAAAAATATGATAACATACTACACAATCAATGAATCAATTCAACTTTACATGTGCATTCCTATATAATATGTAAACCAATAGCAATTTATAGGAAATATTATACTTCAATATCGGACATAATTTTCCAATATTGCAACCTGAACAAGTCGCACAGAAACAAGATCTATTGGATACAAAATATGATGGTAGATGGACGTGTTAACTTAATATTACAAAGCAAATATACTTTTTTTTTTGTTATATTTTAAGGGAAATTAAATCAACTTCTTTCTGCTTGGTGAAGAACTGAAACCAAAAACTAAGATTAGAAACTACTTATAAAAGGAACGAGCTATTCTTCATTAACCCATTAATAGCTATTGGCCCATAGCGTAGACCATGCTGAACTACTTCTTAGAGCTCAGCCATATTCTTGAGACAAGTTGCAGACGTTCAAGTGACAATATTGTATTCTTATGAATGTTGTTTAGAGAATATTAATTTAAAGTCAATTGGATGATTTTAAGCAATATTTACATTCCCATTGGAAACTGGAATTACAAAATATGGCCTATCAGTTACCAGAATACATTCAACCACTCATCTCAAATTTCAGTTAGAACAAACAGAGCATCGTAGAATGACCTGTCAGGAAGTCAGGAAGAAAAAAATATTTTGGAGCAAAATTTTGATTCTAGACTCTGAACACTGGAGCCTTCCAAAAATAACTATTATACGCTAATTCACAAGACAGACATTGAATTCATAACATTTTTTTTTTTGTAAAAAAATAACCACTCCAGACAGATAAAGATAACCACAATAAACCAAGTAACAAAAAAACTAATCCTAAACCGACAAGGTAAACACTTAGCAATAACAAGTGTACTGAGTGCCTTGATTTATTTTTCAACACGATTTAGTATTAGTAATTATACTTATGTATTAAACAGTAATTAGTCATGTAATGTAAATTAGCCATGATTCTGTACACAATTTCATCACCATCTAAAAAACTTGAACTTCAGAAATGCTTTCAATAATAACAAAAATAAAAAAATAGATATAGGAATTAAAAGTTATGGCAGCTGAGGTTTCTTCGCTTGCAAAGCTACATCGATAAAGTAAATGATAGAATATCACCAATAATCACATAATCATCTTATCTTACTTTAAAAAATGTAGAAATAGACAATTTGGAATGAGGGCATAAATATGTTTCGGTTAAAATGTGTGTAGATCAAAAAGAATAAGGAAAAATAAAGGTTTTAATAACATTTAAAATAAATAAGTGCAAATTTGAAAGATTGCATAATTTAATTCAACTATAATCAAAGTAAACTGCCGTTCGAATTGAACGCCTGGTCAAGTTGAAATTTATATCACCAGGGATCCTCGGAAAGAATCTCAAACTTCTCAAGATTTAGTCGTAGCTCTAGTGAAAACCCTCTTTTCCTCTCCAAATACACCAGAAATGGAGATAAACTTAACACTTATTTTGTTAACATTTTGATAGGTTTATTTATTTCAATAACAATAATAAGGCACATGTGTACCAAAAGGTTCTTTAAGGATTTTTTATTTTAATAAAGCTTTTTTAATATAGTAATACTTTGTTGTTAGATGCAATAAAGTAATACATAGTTCGTCAATAAGCTGGGC